AAATAAGATATTGTAAATGCGTCATATTGTGATTCATAATTATTAAAAATATATTAAATTTTTTTGCCGTCAATCACAATTATAATATTGTTAAAAGATGTAGTATAAACCTATCACTAATCACTGATTTTTATTGTTTTCTATGATTTATAGTCTTCATTTTCTGATGATGTTCATGTCCTTCACTATTTCTTTGTTCGTTGCACTATCCCTGGTCACTATTAGGTTTGTATTTTGTATTTCGTGGTGACGTTCATATTTTGTGTACCAGCCACCACGCAATACAGTCCAGTACATCTCCATTCTCCTATATACGAATATCATATTACTTCTTGGTCCTACACAAAATATGAACGTCACCACGAAATACAAAATACAAACCTAATAGTGACCAGGGATAGTGCAACGAACGAAGAAATAGTGAAGGACATGAACATCATCAGAAAATGAAGACTATAAATCATAGAAAACAATAAAAATCAGTGATTAGTGATAGGTTTATACTACATAACACCCGTTGATGGCTAAATTGTAGCCGAAACTAGTCGTGTAAGTTCCTATGTAATCGAGTACTCGATGGGGAAAGTTAAATGATATTTTAATCTTTTAACAATATTATAATTGTGATTGACGGCAAAAATTTTTAATATATTTTTGATAATTTGTTAAATAGTAAGATTTAAAAAACTTCTTAATTAACACAAACCTGCACCAGTCTGATGGTGAAAACTGAATGGCTTCGACTCGATTCAGAATTTAGCGTAGTAACAGCCATTCTCTTTCTTTTCTGCCCTTTGTAGAAAGCTTCAAATGCTTGTTCAGTCGACTTCACCTCTACTTCTGTTACACAGTGTACATACATGTTGCGACTGGCATCCTCTCTCACAATTTTTGACTGCAGTTGCCTGGAAGATAGTTTAGTTTCCTCAGCACATGAATGGTTTATCGTGAAATAGAAATAAATGATACTAGTAATACTAAAAATAAATAATAGTAATATGGAAAGTAAATAATGTTAAATAAATAAATAATAATACTAAAATAAATAATACAAGTATGTCATAAAGCTATATATTATTTGTTCTGTTATGAATGTAAGTTTGCTTTAAAGGTGGCGACTGACTTGTAACATTTGCCTGTAATGTAACGTGTTACAAATCGAGCATTACACAAGTGAAGACAGCGAACGGAGCTGCTCGATGCGAGCCGCTCACGCTCGCGGGCGCTCCATCGTGTTGTCGGTTTTTTCGCGAATCCCTTTGAGTGTTACATTACAAGTCAGTCAGTCAGTCGA